TCATAAGTCGGCATTTGGCCTGGCTTTCTTGTCAATTGAAATGTGACGTTTCCCGAGAGGTCCAGCCACACATCTCAAGTTTTGTTCAGGGCCGACAACAATTGCATCCGTAACATTCGAAAGAAAAAAAAACAAATCATGTCTGGACGCGGCAAAGGAGGTAAAGGGGCTTGGAAAAGGAGGCGCCAAGCGCCATCGAAAGATTCTGCGAGACAACATCCAGGGAATCACCAAGCCAGCAATCCGACGTCTGGCTCGCCGCGGTGGTGTCAAGCGTATTTCCGGGCTCATTTACGAAGAGACCCGCGGAGTCCTCAAAGTCTTCCTGGAAAACGTTATCCGTGATGCTGTGACTTACACCGAACACGCCAAACGGAAGACCGTTACCGCAATGGATGTGGTCTACGCGCCTTAAACGCCAAGGCCGTACCCTATACGGTTTTGGCGGGTAGAGAATCACGGAAACCTCAGAGAACTGATAAACGGCTCCTTTAGGAGCCACCACCTCATGCGAAAGTCGTGATCAGCCACAGTGATGGTCAAACCCTGTGTTTGAACAACGAGTCAAAGGGCGATATTTTTCTGCTCTCAACGTTTCTCCTAATCCTTGTGTTAGCGTTAATGCAGTGTAACTCGAGTCGCTTGTCGTGGTGTGCCAAATAGTCTCTCGTTCCAACAGGGAACTGGGATGGCAGGAAATAGGAAGTAGTAAATTGGAGTTTCAAAAGCCGTGCAAAGCTGGGTTCAGCGAACGTTCTACTCAAATTCTATTACGTTTCCACGCAATGGAACCACGCGTGATCGCACCGTTCTCCAAGTACGTTAGTTCTGATCATTAACACATTTCATTAACACACACATTTCGAGTCGCTTGTCTTGCTATGCAAAATTAGCCCCAAAAAAGCCCCAATAAAAATAGCCCCAATAAAAGTACCTCGTTCCTTATTGGAACGGGGATGGCAAGGAATAGAAAAGATTAAAGCGGGTTTGCAACAACCACGCAAACTTGTGATCAGCGATCGTACCATTCAAACTCAAATGCGTTTCTCTGTCTTGACAGGTAGGAAAGCAGTTTATGCAATTCGCAAATTCCACACTCCAACAATTGAAAGAGAGAGAGACAAGAGCGGGCTGCAAATGTGTCGAGGCATTTTGCAAATCCAAATTACCGTCGTCCAACCAAACGAAAGGAAAACAAAGTCGCCGGCAATGTTTCCAAAAAAAAACCAAAGCTGATTTGAATTGTCTTTCATTCCGTCTGTTTGATTTTTTTTATTTGCTTTTTATTTCTTTTACTAGTTTGGGATCAAAAATACGGAATGTAAGCGATGGACACTAGCTGAACTGAAACGATTTGTTTTGATCGATAACAAAGTAAAGACGCGAGCGCTTGTGTGTGCATGTACGAGTGTCAATTGGAGTAAATGGATTTTTTCACTGATCACGACTTTTTTCGAGGTTTGGTGGCTCCTAAAGGAGCCGTTTTTATGGTTTGATGTTGTCAATGGTGCTTCTTCTCGGCCTTCTTGGGTAGCAGCACGGCCTGTATGTTGGGAAGAACACCGCCCTGGGCGATCGTTACACCAGCTAGAAGTTTGTTCAATTCCTCGTCGTTTCGGACGGCCAACTGCAGGTGTCTGGGAATGATTCTGGTCTTCTTGTTGTCACGAGCGGCGTTTCCGGCTAACTCTAGAATTTCAGCACTTAGATACTCGAGCACAGCGGCCAAGTACACGGGAGCACCCGCCCCGACACGCTCTGCATAGTTTCCTTTGCGAAGGAGTCGGTGGATGCGGCCGACTGGAAACTGAAGACCTGCTCGGCTGGACCTGCTCTTTGCCTTGGTGCCCGACGCTTTTCCTTTCCCTCGGCCGGTCATTTTAGTTTTCTCTCTCGCAAACTAGCTCGTGCTAGGACACACACTGAAATCCAACGATTTTGTTGTTCAAATTGTGACGCGTTCCGAGTCGTGACGCCGTACTTATCTCGCGGCTCGCGCGCGCTAAGGGATCGAAACCCTCCAATCAAAATTAATTCCGCCCTCTGTTGCCTCGTAGTCTTTTGTTCCTTTCACAGCTGTATCTGAGCCAATCGCTTCAAAGAGAATTTTCGTCGGCATACTAATTGATCCTCAACAATGGACCTTAAATAGGGAGTCAATTCTCCTGTCTAGTCACACACCTCAGTCTATTTTTGAGCGAACGGTGATAGATTTTTCTAGACATGGCACCAAAAGTTCCCGCGGCCGGAAAAGGCGAGAAGAGAGCCGGCAAGGCTAAATCAGCCCCGACGGACCCTGGCAAGAAAAAGAAGAGAAGCAAGAGAAAGGAGAGCTATGCGATCTACATCTACAAAGTGTTGAAACAGGTGCACCCCGACACCGGTATCTCCAGCAAAGCCATGGGTATCATGAACTCGTTTGTCAACGATGTCTTTGAACGCATCGCGACCGAATCCTCGCGGCTCGCGCACTACAACAAGAAATCCACCATCAGCTCTCGCGAAATCCAGACCGCCATTAGGTTACTGTTACCGGGCGAACTCGCAAAACACGCAGTAAGCGAGGGTACAAAAGCAGTCACCAAATATACAAGCAGCAAGTGAACTGCCCGACCTCACAAACAAACGGCTCCTTTAGGAGCCAACACATGTCATGAAAGTAAATGTCCAACATTGTTGTTGTTTTTGTTGTTGTTCTTGTTGTTGTTCTTGTTGTTGTTCTTGTTCTTGTTGTTGTTCTTGTTCTTGTTGTTGTTCTTGTTCTTGTTCTTGTTCTTGTTCTTGTTCTTGTTCTTGTTCTTGTTCTTGTTCTTGTTCTTGTTCTTGTTCTTGTTCTTGTTCTTGTTCTTGTTCTTGTTTTTTTTTTCTTTCTTTCTTTCTTTCTTTCTTTCTTTCTTTCTTTTTTTTTTTTTTTTTCCTTTTTTTTTTTCGTACGTACGTAAATGTTGGAGCTCGAAGCAGATCGATCCAGGAAGGAACTCTAAAAATACTTCTCGCCAAAAAGAGTTTTGACCGATTTCCCTTTCACTGTTCACAGATTTGGTGCCAAAGCGAGAACTGTTTTTAGACTTACTAAAATTTCTTCCGAATGAAATCAAGAATTCCCGACCCAAAAAAAATTTTATATTTCCCAGAATGCATTGCGAAAAAAAGCCTCATTAATATGTATTACATCCTTCCCCAGTTGTTGTTGTTCTTTCTTTCCATTTCGAATCTCTGATTTTTATTCAGTCAAACTCAGTTTCAGTGAACATGTTTTGCTGGTGCGAATGAGTTATTAATCTAGTACAAAAGGCAGGTGCATGGGGGCGTATCCGTTGGTAATAGCTAACTTGCTTTTGGCAAGTAAGGAACATGAAAAGGCAACAACATTGAATTAAAAGTCGGAACCAATTATACGAACGACTGAAAGCGCAATTGGAGACCTTTATGTTTGTCTGGTACAAACAAACACACGCTGTTACCGAACGGTAATAACGTAGAGATTGAGGTAATTGCGCCTGCTTAAAAAGAGGCTCTTGTTCTTGTTCTTTGTTTTTTTTTTGTTTATTTTTGTTTTTTTTTTGCCAAGTAAGGAACAAGAAAAGACAGCGGCAATGAATTGAAACGTCGTTACAAATTATACGAACGGCTGAAAGCGCAAAATGGTGACCTTTATGTTTGTCTAGTTCGAGCAAACTCACGGAAAACGCATCAAAACAGTTGACCTCCGTCGCTGCTCACTTTCTGTCAAATTTTTGTCGCGAATCAAACCGAGAGTCGATCGCTCGCTTTTTGTCTACGTCGACATTTTTTCTGCAGAGGCAGGTCACCTTTGGAGATGTGGTCATTGATTTTCTCTGTTGCTTCATGACAATAATGCGAGTTTTTCACTCACGTAACAAAAACCACGAAAATGAAACAACAACCACAACAAAACGAAACAGAACACACACAGAAAAATTAAAGACGTGCGAAAGGAGATGGGCTGCTCATTGACCTTTAGGTTAGTGGTGGCTCCTAAAGGAGCCGTTAGTGTTTGTTCGATGACCAAGCGACTGTACTAAGCCCGCTCGCCACGAATCCTTCGAGCCAACTGGATATCCTTCGGCATGATGGTTACGCGTTTGGCGTGGATGGCGCACAGATTGGTATCTTCGAACAGACCCACCAAGTAAGCTTCGCTAGCCTCTTGGAGCGCTAGTACAGCGGAACTTTGGAATCGCAGATCGGTTTTGAAATCCTGCGCGATCTCCCGCACAAGCCGTTGAAAGGGCAACTTGCGGATAAGTAACTCCGTAGACTTCTGATAACGACGGATTTCACGGAGTGCAACTGTGCCTGGTCTGTAACGGTGAGGTTTCTTCACGCCACCCGTAGCGGGAGCACTCTTGCGGGCCGCCTTAGTGGCTAACTGTTTACGAGGAGCTTTTCCACCTGTTGATTTCCGGGCGGTTTGCTTGGTACGAGCCATAGCTAACAAGATTGGAGGCTTCAGTCTCGTAATTTCTTCAGAAATTTTACGCTTTTCTCGCGATCTCCTGTGACAAAACCGATTTTATAACAAGCGCTCAACGATCCGATTGGTTATCCAAAGTTTGCTTGTGATTGGCTGCGGTGAATTTCTTTGTTCGGGTACTCTTTTTTTTTTTTTTCCGAGGATGAGGCGGAAAGTAAATTTTAGTAAACTCTGACCTGCAACTTTTCTCAAAACTGCCCTCGGTTTTCAGTCGCTCGCTTTCGGTGAGTACTCTCGAAAAAGTAATAAACTAATTAGTGAGTGAGTGAGTGAGTGAGACTGAATTTGACCATGGATTACTTTGAAGGTTGTGAGTCATTTTCGCTATCCTTTAGCGTGGCCGTGTAGATAGGTGATAATGGTATTCATAAGTCGGCATTTGGCCTGGCTTTCTTGTCAATTGGAAATGTGACGTTTCCCGAGAGGTCCAGCCACACATCTCAAGTTTTGTTCAGGGCCGACAACAATTGCATCCGTAACATTCGAAAGAAAAAAACAAATCATGTCTGGACGCGGCAAAGGAGGTAAAGGGCTTGGAAAAGGAGGCGCCAAGCGCCATCGAAAGATTCTGCGAGACAACATCCAGGGAATCACCAAGCCAGCAATCCGACGTCTGGCTCGCCGCGGTGGTGTCAAGCGTATTTCCGGGCTCATTTACGAAGAGACCCGCGGAGTCCTCAAAGTCTTCCTGGAAAACGTTATCCGTGATGCTGTGACTTACACCGAACACGCCAAACGGAAGACCGTTACCGCAATGGATGTGGTCTACGCCCTTAAACGCCAAGGCCGTACCCTATACGGTTTTGGCGGGTAGAGAATCACGGAAACCTCAGAGAACTGATAAACGGCTCCTTTAGGAGCCACCACCTCATGCGAAAGTCGTGATCAGCCACAGTGATGGTCAAACCCTGTGTTTGAACAACGAGTCAAAGGGCGATATTTTTCTGCTCTCAACGTTTCTCCTAATCCTTGTGTTAGCGTTAATGCAGTGTAACTCGAGTCGCTTGTCGTGGTGTGCCAAATAGTCTCTCGTTCCAACAGGGAACTGGGATGGCAGGAAATAGGAAGTAGTAAATTGGAGTTTCAAAAGCCGTGCAAAGCTGGGTTCAGCGAACGTTCTACTCAAATTCTATTACGTTTCCACGCAATGGAACCACGCGTGATCGCACCGTTCTCCAAGTACGTTAGTTCTGATCATTAACACATTTCATTAACACACACATTTCGAGTCGCTTGTCTTGCTATGCAAAATTAGCCCCAAAAAAGCCCCAATAAAAATAGCCCCAATAAAAGTACCTCGTTCCTTATTGGAACGGGGATGGCAAGGAATAGAAAAGATTAAAGCGGGTTTGCAACAACCACGCAAACTTGTGATCAGCGATCGTACCATTCAAACTCAAATGCGTTTCTCTGTCTTGACAGGTAGGAAAGCAGTTTATGCAATTCGCAAATTCCACACTCCAACAATTGAAAGAGAGAGAGACAAGAGCGGGCTGCAAATGTGTCGAGGCATTTTGCAAATCCAAATTACCGTCGTCCAACCAAACGAAAGGAAAACAAAGTCGCCGGCAATGTTTCCAAAAAAACCAAAGCTGATTTGAATTGTCTTTCATTCCGTCTGTTTGATTTTTATTTGCTTTTTATTTCTTTTACTAGTTTGGGATCAAAAATACGGAATGTAAGCGATGGACACTAGCTGAACTGAAACGATTTGTTTTGATCGATAACAAAGTAAAGACGCGAGCGCTTGTGTGTGCATGTACGAGTGTCAATTGGAGTAAATGGATTTTTTCACTGATCACGACTTTTTTCGAGGTTTGGTGGCTCCTAAAGGAGCCGTTTTTATGGTTTGATGTTGTCAATGGTGCTTCTTCTCGGCCTTCTTGGGTAGCAGCACGGCCTGTATGTATTGGGAAGAACACCGCCCTGGGCGATCGTTACACCAGCTAGAAGTTTGTTCAATTCCTCGTCGTTTCGGACGGCCAACTGCAGGTGTCTGGGAATGATTCTGGTCTTCTTGTTGTCACGAGCGGCGTTTCCGGCTAACTCTAGAATTTCAGCACTTAGATACTCGAGCACAGCGGCCAAGTACACGGGAGCACCCGCCCCGACACGCTCTGCATAGTTTCCTTTGCGAAGGAGTCGGTGGATGCGGCCGACTGGAAACTGAAGACCTGCTCGGCTGGACCTGCTCTTTGCCTTGGTGCCCGACGCTTTTCCTTTCCCTCGGCCGGTCATTTTAGTTTTCTCTCTCGCAAACTAGCTCGTGCTAGGACACACACTGAAATCCAACGATTTTGTTGTTCAAATTGTGACGCGTTCCGAGTCGTGACGCCGTACTTATCTCGCGGCTCGCGCGCGCTAAGGGATCGAAACCCTCAATCAAAATTAATTCCGCCCTCTGTTGCTCGTAGTCTTTTTCCTTCCTTTCACAGCTGTATCTGAGCCAATCGCTTCAAAGAGAATTTTCGTCGGCATACTAATTGATCCTCAACAATGGACCTTAAATAGGGAGTCAATTCTCCTGTCTAGTCACACACCTCAGTCTATTTTTGAGCGAACGGTGATAGATTTTTTCTAGACATGGCACCAAAAGTTCCCGCGGCCGGAAAAGGCGAGAAGAGAGCCGGCAAGGCTAAATCAGCCCCGACGGACCCTGGCAAGAAAAAAAAGAAGAGAAGCAAGAGAAAGGAGAGCTATGCGATCTACATCTACAAAGTGTTGAAACAGGTGCACCCCGACACCGGTATCTCCAGCAAAGCCATGGGTATCATGAACTCGTTTGTCAACGATGTCTTTGAACGCATCGCGACCGAATCCTCGCGGCTCGCGCACTACAACAAGAAATCCACCATCAGCTCTCGCGAAATCCAGACCGCCATTAGGTTACTGTTACCGGGCGAACTCGCAAAACACGCAGTAAGCGAGGGTACAAAAGCAGTCACCAAATATACAAGCAGCAAGTGAACTGCCCGACCTCACAAACAAACGGCTCCTTTAGGAGCCAACACATGTCATGAAAGTAAATGTCCAACATTGTTGTTGTTTTTTGTTGTTGTTCTTGTTGTTCTTATTGTTGTTCGTTTTGTTCTTGTTCTTTCTTGTTGTTCTTGTTCTTGTTGTTCTTGTTGTTCTTGTTCTTGTTCTTGTTATTGTTCTTGTTCTTGTTCTTGTTCTTGTTATTGTTCTTGTTCTTGTTCTTGTTCTTGTTCTTGTTTTCTTGTTTTTTCTTTCTTTTTCTTTCTTTCTTTCTTTTTTTCTTTTCTTTTTTCTTTCTTTTTTTTTTTTTTCCTTTTTTCGAGGTACGTAAATGTTGGAGCTCGAAGCAGATCGATCCAGGAAGGAACTCTAAAAATACTTCTCGCCAAAAAGAGTTTTGACCGATTTCCCTTTCACTGTTCACAGATTTGGTGCCAAAGCGAGAACTGTTTTTAGACTTACTAAAATTTCTTCCGAATGAAATCAAAATTCCCGACCCAAAAAAAAATTTTATATTTCCCAGAATGCATTGCGAAAAAAAAAAGCTCATTAATATGTATTACATCCTTCCCCAGTTGTTGTTGTTCTTTTTTTCTTCCATTTCGAATCTCTGATTTTTATTCAGTCAAACTCAGTTTCAGTGAACATGTTTTGCTGGTGCGAATGAGTTATTAATCTAGTACAAAAGGCAGGTGCATGGGGGGCGTATCCGTTGGTAATAGCTAACTTGCTTTTGGCAAGTAAGGAACATGAAAAGGCAACAACATTGAATTAAAAGTCGGAACCAATTATACGAACGACTGAAAGCGCAATTGGAGACCTTTATGTTTGTCTGGTACAAACAAACACACGCTGTTACCGAACGGTAATAACGTAGAGATTGAGGTAATTGCGCCTGCTTAAAAAGAGGCTCTTGTTCTTGTTCTTTGTTTTTTTTTTTTATTTTTTTTTTTTTTTTTTTTTGCCAAGTAGGAACAAGAAAAGACAGCGGCAATGAATTGAAACGTCGTTACAAATTATACGAACGGCTGAAAGCGCAAAATGGTGACCTTTATGTTTGTCTAGTTCGAGCAAACTCACGGAAAACGCATCAAAACAGTTGACCTCCGTCGCTGCTCACTTTCTGTCAAATTTTTGTCGCGAATCAAACCGAGAGTCGATCGCTCGCTTTTTGTCTACGTCGACATTTTTTCTGCAGAGGCAGGTCACCTTTGGAGATGTGGTCATTGATTTTCTCTGTTGCTTCATGACAATAATGCGAGTTTTTCACTCACGTAACAAAAACCACGAAAATGAAACAACAACCACAACAAAACGAAACAGAACACACACAGAAAAATTAAAGACGTGCGAAAGGAGATGGGCTGCTCATTGACCTTTAGGTTAGTGGTGGCTCCTAAAGGAGCCGTTAGTGTTTGTTCGATGACCAGCGACTGTACTAAGCCCGCTCGCCACGAATCCTTCGAGCCAACTGGATATCCTTCGGCATGATGGTTACGCGTTTGGCGTGGATGGCGCACAGATTGGTATCTTCGAACAGACCCACCAAGTAAGCTTCGCTAGCCTCTTGGAGCGCTAGTACAGCGGAACTTTGGAATCGCAGATCGGTTTTGAAATCCTGCGCGATCTCCCGCACAAGCCGTTGAAAGGGCAACTTGCGGATAAGTAACTCCGTAGACTTCTGATAACGACGGATTTCACGGAGTGCAACTGTGCCTGGTCTGTAACGGTGAGGTTTCTTCACGCCACCCGTAGCGGGAGCACTCTTGCGGGCCGCCTTAGTGGCTAACTGTTTACGAGGAGCTTTTCCACCTGTTGATTTCCGGGCGGTTTGCTTGGTACGAGCCATAGCTAACAAGATTGGAGGCTTCAGTCTCGTAATTTCTTCAGAAATTTTACGCTTTTCTCGCGATCTCCTGTGACAAAACCGATTTTATAACAAGCGCTCAACGATCCGATTGGTTATCCAAAGTTTGCTTGTGATTGGCTGCGGTGAATTTCTTTGTTCGGGTACTCTTTTTTTTTTTTTTTTTTTCGAGGATGAGGCGGAAAGTAAATTTTAGTAAACTCTGACCTGCAACTTTTCTCAAAACTGCCCTCGGTTTTCAGTCGCTCGCTTTCGGTGAGTACTCTCGAAAAAATAAACTAATAAACTAATTAGTGAGTGAGTGAGTGAGTGAGACTGAATTTGACCATGGATTACTTTGAAGGTTGTGAGTCATTTTCGCTATCCTTTAGCGTGGCCGTGTAGATAGGTGATAATGGTATTCATAAGTCGGCATTTGGCCTGGCTTTCTTGTCAATTGAAATGTGACGTTTCCCGAGAGGTCCAGCCACACATCTCAAGTTTTGTTCAGGGCCGACAACAATTGCATCCGTAACATTCGAAAGAAAAAAAAAATCATGTCATGTCTGGACGCGGCAAAGGAGGTAAAGGGCTTGGAAAAGGAGGCGCCAAGCGCCATCGAAAGATTCTGCGAGACAACATCCAGGGAATCACCAAGCCAGCAATCCGACGTCTGGCTCGCCGCGGTGGTGTCAAGCGTATTTCCGGGCTCATTTACGAAGAGACCCGCGGAGTCCTCAAAGTCTTCCTGGAAAACGTTATCCGTGATGCTGTGACTTACACCGAACACGCCAAACGGAAGACCGTTACCGCAATGGATGTGGTCTACGCCCTTAAACGCCAAGGCCGTACCCTATACGGTTTTGGCGGGTAGAAAATCACGGAAACCTCAGAGAACTGATAAACGGCTCCTTTAGGAGCCACCACCTCATGCGAAAGTCGTGATCAGCCACAGTGATGGTCAAACCCTGTGTTTGAACAACGAGTCAAAGGGCGATATTTTTCTGCTCTCAACGTTTCTCCTAATCCTTGTGTTAGCGTTAATGCAGTGTAACTCGAGTCGCTTGTCGTGGTGTGCCAAATAGTCTCTCGTTCCAACAGGGAACTGGGATGGCAGGAAATAGGAAGTAGTAAATTGGGTTTCAAAAGCCGTGCAAAGCTGGGTTCAGCGAACGTTCTACTCAAATTCTATTACGTTTCCACGCAATGGAACCACGCGTGATCGCACCGTTCTCCAAGTACGTTAGTTCTGATCATTAACACATTTCATTAACACACACATTTCGAGTCGCTTGTCTTGCTATGCAAAATTAGCCCCAAAAAAGCCCCAATAAAAATAGCCCCAATAAAAGTACCTCGTTCCTTATTGGAACGGGGATGGCAAGGAATAGAAAAGATTAAAGCGGGTTTGCAACAACCACGCAAACTTGTGATCAGCGATCGTACCATTCAAACTCAAATGCGTTTCTCTGTCTTGACAGGTAGGAAAGCAGTTTATGCAATTCGCAAATTCCACACTCCAACAATTGAAAGAGAGAGAGACAAGAGCGGGCTGCAAATGTGTCGAGGCATTTTGCAAATCAAATTACCGTCGTCCAACCAAACGAAAGGAAAACAAAGTCGCCGGCAATGTTTCCAAAAAAAAAAAAAAGCTGATTTGAATTGTCTTTCATTCCGTCTGTTTGATTTTTATTTGCTTTTTATTTCTTTTACTAGTTTGGGATCAAAAATACGGAATGTAAGCGATGGACACTAGCTGAACTGAAACGATTTGTTTTGATCGATAACAAAGTAAAGACGCGAGCGCTTGTGTGTGCATGTACGAGTGTCAATTGGAGTAAATGGATTTTTTCACTGATCACGACTTTTTCGAGGTTTGGTGGCTCCTAAAGGAGCCGTTTTATGGTTTGATGTTGTCAATGGTGCTTCTTCTCGGCCTTCTTGGGTAGCAGCACGGCCTGTATGTTGGGAAGAACACCGCCCTGGGCGATCGTTACACCAGCTAGAAGTTTGTTCAATTCCTCGTCGTTTCGGACGGCCAACTGCAGGTGTCTGGGAATGATTCTGGTCTTCTTGTTGTCACGAGCGGCGTTTCCGGCTAACTCTAGAATTTCAGCACTTAGATACTCGAGCACAGCGGCCAAGTACACGGGAGCACCCGCCCCGACACGCTCTGCATAGTTTCCTTTGCGAAGGAGTCGGTGGATGCGGCCGACTGGAAACTGAAGACCTGCTCGGCTGGACCTGCTCTTTGCCTTGGTGCCCGACGCTTTTCCTTTCCCTCGGCCGGTCATTTTAGTTTTCTCTCTCGCAAACTAGCTCGTGCTAGGACACACACTGAAATCCAACGATTTTGTTGTTCAAATTGTGACGCGTTCCGAGTCGTGACGCCGTACTTATCTCGCGGCTCGCGCGCGCTAAGGGATCGAAACCCTCAATCAAAATTAATTCCGCCCTCTGTTGCCTCGTAGTCTTTTGTTCCTTTCACAGCTGTATCTGAGCCAATCGCTTCAAAGAGAATTTTCGTCGGCATACTAATTGATCCTCAACAATGGACCTTAAATAGGGAGTCAATTCTCCTGTCTAGTCACACACCTCAGTCTATTTTTGAGCGAACGGTGATAGATTTTTCTAGACATGGCACCAAAAGTTCCCGCGGCCGGAAAAGGCGAGAAGAGAGCCGGCAAGGCTAAATCAGCCCCGACGGACCCTGGCAAGAAAAAAAAAGAGAAGCAAGAGAAAGGAGAGCTATGCGATCTACATCTACAAAGTGTTGAAACAGGTGCACCCCGACACCGGTATCTCCAGCAAAGCCATGGGTATCATGAACTCGTTTGTCAACGATGTCTTTGAACGCATCGCGACCGAATCCTCGCGGCTCGCGCACTACAACAAGAAATCCACCATCAGCTCTCGCGAAATCCAGACCGCCATTAGGTTACTGTTACCGGGCGAACTCGCAAAACACGCAGTAAGCGAGGGTACAAAAGCAGTCACCAAATATACAAGCAGCAAGTGAACTGCCCGACCTCACAAACAAACGGCTCCTTTAGGAGCCAACACATGTCATGAAAGTAAATGTCCAACATTGTTGTTGTTTTTTGTTGTTCTTGTTGTTGTTGTTGTTGTTGTTGTTGTTCTT